GTGGGCATGACAAATGTTTCAGAAGGGACCTTCCCTAGTTTCTTGGGCTGTAAAGGCAACGGGGGAGAAATGTTCTTTCTGACTTGCAAGATTCTGTTAATGTAACTGTACAATATAGTGGAATTAGTTCATCTGGATTCTTGTTCTCCCAGAGATATACATGGCACCCGCTCTCTTAGGGTTCCAGAAGTCTCTTTAAGATCTGGCTGTGTCCCCAGTCCTGCGATTAGTGGAGCCCCTGCTGTGGTTTTCATTGCTGTGGTTATTTTCCTCCTCTGATAGAGTCTATTGTGTTTTTAATATTTTAAAAATGTGTCTGGATATTGTAAACCACTGAGAATCCTCTGGAGTGACAGCTCTAGCTAATGTTGCTGTTAGGGAAAAAAAAGGTACTCTCTACTCCCAGTTGCCCAAATAAGATAAAGATATGGATGATGCACTTCTAAAGCAAATTGCAGATCTTTAAGATAGCATAAAATAATAGTAATAATGGTGGATTTTAATCACCCTGTCATCTGCTGTTGGAAGATAAACTTTGCAAAGCACAATACTTTATGGAAATTCCTGCCCTGCTGACCTCCTTGTTCTTTAGGTGCAGGGGGCTTGAGAACTTAAAAATGGGGGCATGAAAGGTGCCCCCAGCTGGGGGTCCCCTGGGCAACGGTGATGTCACCAGAAGCGCCTCCGTGCATCCATCATGAGAGCAAGCCAGGTACAGGGAGCTCAAACTGCCCTTGACTTGATACAAACTTACAGGGGGGACACTTTTAAAAACAGAATAGAGGAAACTTTGAAGAGAAAGACTCTTTCATGCTGGGCTTGAAGGTTTTAGGGAATTTTAAAGGCAAGTCTAATCAAATTTATACATGATGTTCAAGATATCAAGTTTGAATAAACTCATAAGGTATAAACATAAGGTTCCATGTCAGAAGAAACAAACTATGGAAAAGACTTCATGATCTGTTGGACATCTTAAAAGGGGGATAGTAAGCACAATTCCTTCAGTCTTGTAACTGTGAATGATTGCTAAACGAGGCAGTCATGAAGTGAAGACTAAGACCGCAACATCCTTACACAATTCTCCAATCTGATTGTCTAAATTCTCACTTCTCTTGTTTCTCCAATTGAAGCCTACTCACATCCCATTGTTTTCACTGCTACTCTTCACTACTCTTCAGACTGCAGCTGCTGTCATTCTTCAAGGACAATATTGTGGTATATTTTATCTAAATTACTGCCTTTTGGGCCTTAATTTGTTCTCCGGATAGTAATCAAGAGTTCCATTTGTGATTATACTAGGAATCTGTTTCCTAATATAACATGTTTCCATTTCCCTTTCCCCAAATACACCTTTAAAAAACGTGATGGATGATTATACATTATTCCATTGTGAAAGAGTAAAGTAACAAGAGGAATGTAGAGGCACCTTGCTTGGTATGACGATTGAAGCAAGAGAAGAACAAAATCAGGAAAGTGCAGTACTCCTTTATGCCAAGCAGGGTGTGGTAAGCCAGTATGTTGTTCCTTAGCAATGGAATGCTTTGTGTAAAAGTTGAATCGAAGGTTTGCTGCTGAATTGGATGACAGAGATAAATGTTGGAAATAAATCCTGTGAGAGTAAATGGTACGGTGTAGTGTTGGACTAAGGCCAAGATATGTGATATCTCCTCCATTATTTATTTATGGATATATGTATAAAGAATCTCCTAGCAAAAATGTATTGATGAGGACTTAAAAGTATACACATTTTGCTTTACAGATAGTATCCATTTTCCACCTTAGTACCCAATTATTTGCAACAAATGTTAGACTTTATGATGTAAGGAAGAGCATTGATCTGAAAATTAATGTTTTCAAAGATCAAGGTAATTTTTGTGTTTGACAGGGGAAATGGAATAAACAAATGCATAACAACATAAATTGCAAAGTAAAAAAACATCCCAATTGAATGCTTCAATCCATGGCTGATTTTTGAATCTAAGCCATTGCCTTCTTCCAGAATGTTCTTTTCTTTAAAAAAAAAAAAAAGCCATAACAATCTAGCCTATAAACCTGGGCCTTTTAGATAGTCCCCATCTGACCAGCTCTGCTTAGTTTCTGAGATCAGCCAAGAAGATCTACTGTGTCTTTTTTTAATATAAATGTTTTATTAATTTTCTATTTTCACAAACAAGTGCTCAATAGACAACGTGACGACTGAGTCCATTAGTCATTCTGTGGTACATACAAACTTCTTCCAACTAAGTCCACTATTACACCTGCCAGTACATCCTCTCTTCTTCTGGTAATAACCATTTTTCCGCATTAAGCAAATACAATTCTTATTATTGCTAGTAAACATACAATTGCATATCAACATTTGTTACATTTTTCTAATAATATCAATAATATCAGTTTAAAATATCTTTTCTAACCAAAGCGTATCTTAATTGCATTTGCACTCAATTTCCACTTATTTAATCCATATCCTATTTTTGCTTTTTTCGATTTTAATTTCCCATCCATGTTCAAAGTATCCCAGTCATTTATAATTTCAAAATAAGTTATATTTGGGCAACCAAAAGCATCCCTTATTCAAAGTTCTTAGCATATTCTTATTTCCCTTTTCATACCAAGATATAATATTCTGATTACAAATCCTAACTATCTAGTTATAATAATACTATTTCTAACAATTTATTCTTAACCATATTCAAACCTCTAATTAGTAATATAGCATCCCCTCTAATAGGTCATAGTTTCTGTTTCCTTCAATCTTACTCTAGCTTTCTTTCTTTGCCAACTAACTTTCCAAGTCAGCACATTTGGATCATCAAATAATTCTTCCTCTATTTTTGTATATATTATTTGAAATAAAAGAAACAATTTGGCTAAAGTGTTTTTGGAAGAGCTAGCCCATTGATATTCATTAAACCGCGTCCCTCAATTTGGTTAAAGTGTTTTTGGAAGAGCTAGGCCGTTGATATTCATTAAACCGCGTCCCTCCTCCAGTTCCCCACAGTTCTGTTAACAACTTTATCTTCCATTCCATCAGTTCTCCTTCCTTGTCATCCAGTATGTTCTGAAACCTTGGTTTGTAAAATGTCTTTTCCGTTTCCAATATTATCATTGTGTCTTCTGACTTTTCATTTATCTGAGTCTGGTCATTAGTTTTTTCCTTTAGATTGTCAATGTTTGTGTCAGCATTCTCTAGTTTTCCTTCTATTTTCTGGGTTGCTGGTTCCTTCTCTGTAGTTGTTTTCTGAGTTTGTAGATTTAAATTAGAAAATTGTTCTTTTATCTCCTTTGTGTTATTTTTAACCTGATCACAAGCTAAAGCAATTGTTTTTTGTATTAATTTCAACATGGAGAGAATTTCTTTCTGTGATTCATCAGTATTTTCTTGGTAATACGGCAAGTTAAGGCTACTAGGAACAGATGTTAAAGATGGTGTTTTATTATTTAAAGCTGAGTATGAAACATCCAATTTTTTTTTGTAAGTAGCCTTTATAAATTTACCCAACCTGTCCTGTCCGTTCCTGAATCTCCCCTAAGCAGATATAAGTAAAATTCAATTTTTTCTGTCCAGTAAGAAATATATCCTTTCTGTCCAGGGAGAAAAAAGAACCATTGGAGGTTGTTTAATGATCAAGATTTGTAATCCAAAGTGTTCCATATGTTTCTTCTACAAGAAAATAAATCCACAATACAGTTCTGAAAGTCAGTATTTATATTCAAAATTCAGACAGGCCAAATTTAGAATATTGTTATCATCTCTGCCACACAGATAAGCAGCCCCCAAACCTTTTTTTTTCTCAGCTGCAATTCTCAATAGTAAAAGCTTCCAAGCCCAGCCAAAGTCTTGGGCTTCGAGCCAAGTTTCTTTTAGGCATAAATAAGTTGTAATGCTGTAATTCACCACTGGATGTCATCAACGCTGTTTTCCAGTTTTTAGATCCAAAACTTATATTGTAAACTTTTCAAGTTTTTTTAAAAAAAGATCTTAAAAACACTTTTAGTCCCCAAATTTTCAAGCTGTACGTATATATTAATTCCAAATAAGTTTTATAGGTTTCGCCATTTTCCCCAAGTAATTAATTCGCCGCTTTTCTTTTCTGAGGGAATGGGACGGAAATTCCCTTTCCCTCTTTCATTGGGGGGAGTGCTTTGGGCAGATTTTCAGAAAGAGATCTTAAAATCATAAAGAGAGGATCAGGTCTCACCCAGTTTCATCTACATTGCTGTAAAGTTGCTTGGTAGTGCTTGTTGTCTTCCATTGTCAGCAGCTTTGGACTGGCTACACGAATGTAGCCAGTCTTTCCCCCTCCGGTTTGGAGGGCTTCCTTGGATCAAACGGGAGGGCTACCACCCTCCCCCCCCCTGCGATCAACGAGAGTCCCCTCCTTTTGACCCTTTCCAGGGTGCCCCAGCAGGGCGAAACCAAACGCGAAAGACAGAGCTCCATCTTCCTGCGTCTCCATCGCCACAACCTCAAAACCGTAAGCCAAGATCTAACGTGTCTTAATCTGAGTGTCATGGTTCCGACAGATGAAACTCTTCAAAGAACTTTGAGGCATTGCTTACCTTAAAGAATCTTTATTCGAGTAGCAACACATCGGCACGTACATAATTCAAGCCAAAATCTGGCTTCCCCTCCCCTAAGCACATAGTATCAAAGCACAATTCCCTCCTCCGACTAACAGTCATAAATCACATTCTCCAATTAGTTTGAAATGCTGGCTTTCCCACCAGTTCTACAACCCGCCATGTCTTATCATCTCTTTTACAAAAAACCTTGGTTCCCACCATTATACATTATTGTTTTGTCTAACTAAGCTCCCAAACACATTCCTCTCCCTTCCCCCAGTATCATCTAATTCTAACTCTAAGAATAAAACATAAAGTAAGGGAAAATGGCTGCATCTCCATATGTTGTCAAAGTAAGAACATTCGATGTTAGCAGTGTTGAAACTGAGCCTTTGAAAAGGAAAAATGAAAGTAACTATTACTTTTATTTTCAGGGATACAAGAAAAGGTTGAGAGTGCTGTTTGAAGAAGGCTCTCTTTTAAAATCGACAAGAGACAAAAAGGAGAAGGACGCTCAACTTCGACATTTGGAATTTGACTCTGTAGAAAAGTGCAACAAGGTACAGGATCACTTCAGCCGGTCCCTTGTGGTTGTGTCCTGTCCCCTCGCTGCTTCGGAGCAGGTTATGTTAGGCTGTCCCGTTAATTAACCTAGGACCTTGGTGAAAATGATCCACTTGAAAGTCGTCTGGCTAAGGCTCAGAACTGCCTTGCTGATGACGCCTGAATTAAAGATGATTGTCTTTGAAAAAATTGCAGATTTCTTTGATTCCACAGCTTCTCTACTTTGCTATTTTGTATCTCTTGGACTTTGTATAAATCTATTCTGTTTTTTGTGGTAAAATCAATGTGACGTTACTCTCCTTTTTTTTTTCTAGGAATATAAGCGACTTTCTAATGATCTGCAGAAATTGTCAGATTTACTAACCCAGCATGGAATTGCATATGAAACTGTCCTATGTAAGTTTGAAAAATATTTTTCCTTCTGGAGAAACACCTTGCTTAATGACTGCCATGTTTAACAGTTGCCTAAAGTTACAACAGCACTGAAAAAGTGACTTTTTGACTGGTCCTGGCCTCCACACTGCCATGTGATTGAGATCCAGGTGTTTCACTACGACTCTCGCAGGGTCCCGCAGTCACACACAGCCGGTTCCCAATGAAAAAGCAAATGGAGAAGCCAGGAATAAAATAGCAAGTCACGGTCATGTGCTGTCTCGCTTAACAAGCCACAGTGACTCTCTTAATGGCTGTAGGGTAAGTGAGGTCATAAATTTTGAAAAGTGACATAATAAAAGCCCAGTCTAGCACAATACCAACAAAGAAGAAAAATAACAGCTCTCAAAAGAAACCAGCATGGCTGCATAAAGAACTCTCTGATAAATTGAAAGATAAAAAGGACAAGTATAAAAAGTGGAAAGAGCGGCACACAACTAAGGCAGAATGTCATCAAATAGCCCGAGCCTGCAAAGATGAAGTGAGGAAAGCTAAGGCTCAAAATGAACTAAGGCTTGCGACCAAAGTCAAAAATAACAAAAAAAGCTTCTTTCAACATGTAAAAAATAAGAAAAAAGTGAAGGAAATGATTGGTCCATTAATGGGGGAAAGTGGCAAGAAGGTGACAAGCAACAGGGAGAAAGCGGAACTATTGTAACTCTTTTTTTGGATCTGTCTTTTTTTTTTTTTTTTTTCCCAAAGAAATTTTTTT